AGATAGCAACAGAGTCTGGGCCAAATCTGGGCTTTTTTCAGTCTTGATTGCAAATGTTTTTTTGTTTTTTTTTAATGTACGATGGATAATTAAAACAAAAATCAAGCGTGTGTATTTATAACATCAATTACTAGGCCTACATTCTTTTTTTCAGAAATGGAAGTAACTTAAAATGTTATTGTGTGTTTGTAATCTTAATATTTTTATCTATAGGCCTATACAGCAGAACTACAGAGCTTCCAGTGGGTTATTTTACGGAGCTGTAAACACGGGAATCTCCGACCGCACGCAATCTTTGACGAACACCCAATTCATATATCAAACTAGGCTATATGTTATTAAATTGCACATAGGCTATATATCAGATTATTTTATTTACAAGTTTCATGTTTGTGTTTATCCCGTTTTTTCCCCCGTTGCATCTGAAAATTACGTTCAGAAACATTTTTTTTTTCAAAGCAGCCCCCCAATAAAAGTGCGGCCCCCCAATAAATTGTGCCTGCCCCCTCTGGCGCCGGCCCTGGTTGCAACTCTTGCGTCAGTAGAACAGGGTGTTCAACGCACCACCGTTTCAGTTTTAAAAAATAAGTTTTGCAACGTTTTGTCGGGGCTGAACGCAGCCCAGGTTGGCTGGTTGAAGTGAGCAAAACCCCTAGCACTTTTAGTGGTAAGATTTATCATGACTGACTAGATGCAACAAGATTTCTTCCTCAACAAACAAACAGGAGACTTCAGGTTCAAGTTGATACTTCAAAAAATGAAAAATCATTCGCAATTCATTTATGAAAACAAATTAAATTAAATGCACGCATGACCCCAGTTCGTTTTATACAAACAAATCTAAGTACTTGAAGGTGAAACCAACGTTTTGTGCATTTCACAATGAATTCATTTCTTATACAAAATACAGAAAAATACAGAAAAATGCGACAAATCGTTTTAATCTAAAAGAATATGGTTTACAAAAAAAACTAGCCCCTTCAATATAGTTTTTTTTCCCTGTTGTATTTGTGTTCCTTTACATGACTGTATAAAAATAATAACAACCCTGTTTGCGCATGCGCCTTTCTCTCAGCTCGTTCGGCTGAACCGGAAATAATTAGTTGGCATTAGCAACGTTTCGGCCGAGCCAGGCCTGAATACAGAGATAGCCGAGGAAAGAGAAACACACAGACAGGTTTGAAACGGTTCATTTGCGTGTTACCCATCATGTGAGCGTTAGTCTGAGTGTTTGGGGATGTGTTCGCTGTGTTTATGCTCAGATTGCACGAGACGTCCGCATCAGTTTCCAACTATGAACACAATGCTAACAGACTAGCTGCTAGCAACTCATAAACAATAACAAACGCCGAGTTGCTGAATTACATCCTTGAATCAAATCCTGTCCTCTCGCTTGTGTCTGTGCAGCGCCTTATGCACCGATACATATAATACACATATATGTTTAAACCATTGATGGTCTCAGATTGATTCGGACATAAACTGTTTAGTCTCCAGTTCTGCTGTCTGTCTGGCTTTTGTTTGTAAAGCAATTGGTGCCTTTTGTCTGAGTTCCTTAAACCTTCTCCCCCCAGAAGACACTGAAGAACAGGCACACGTTCCTGTTGAGCCTCATACTGAGATTGTGAGGCACGAGACTATAACAGAATGACAAGGTAAAGTCATGTGTGTTGTAGTTATTGATGAGATGACACTTCACAAACAGAGAGACTTTAACCGTGAATGCATTATAAGATAGAACCACTGTTAAAGGGGTCATATGATGCTATTTTAAAGATCATTATTTGGTGTAACAGAATATGTTGACATGCTTTAATGTTCAAAAACCACATTATGTTTCAAATACTGTACATTATTGTAGGTCCTCTATGCCCCGCCTCTCTCAAACGCTTCGTTTTCTACAAAGCCCCTCCTTCCGACAAGCGCAGTCTGCTCTGATTGGCCAGCTGACCCAGTGCATTGTGATTGGCCGAACACCACAAGCACTCGTCGAAAATGTAACGCCCCTCACCATAATCGCCAGCTTCTTTCAAAATAAATGTAAAGACAGTTAATAATGTTGTTAGTTTTACCTTCAGTTCAAGCTGGAAAGGGGAACAGAGTCGTGTGACAGACACAGTGATGAAGCAGTACACAAGCCGCGGTTAAGACAGCTGACGTGCTA